TAAAAGCCTTTTCACACCAAAAGTGAAATGAATAAGCCTCAGGCTGAAGGGAAAGTAAATTTAAGTCCGTACAGTAGAATGCTGAAGAAGATATTTCAACACACTTCAGCAATAAAAAAAGACACGAATGTTTGTCTAGAGTAATTTGTGCTTATTATTATGGTTGAACTGGATCATCGAAGGTCAGAAGCAAAGACATTGGTTAATAAGAATGGGATTAAATACATAAAGGATATTTGTGTTGTTTAACATTTAATTATTGCATATTCTGAGTTGCATTATTTTTATTCATTTTGAGTAATACAGTAATACAGGTAATCAAAACTTAAAAGTTACATTGTAAGCGTTTTGTTGAGACTAATAATCAAAGGCTGTAGGCTATATTATAAGCATAATATGTTCAAAAAGCAAATTCAAAAAGCGTTTGTGAAGGGGTTGTCTATAAGGCAACCCTTACGAAAATTAACCATGGTTTTACTACAAATAAATCCAAAAAAATCATATAGTTAAACCATGGTAACCACAGATTAACCATGGTTTTGCTACGAGTAACCATAGTTTAACAATGGTATTTGCAGTAAAGCCTGCATTAGCCTATATCTGACAAACTTATTGCAAGAACTGTCAATACATACTGAGGGAAAAAAATACATAATTTAGCCTATCAGTAGGCTACCAGGATTTTAAATCTGCAGTTGTAACTGTATGTGCAGTAAGCAACTGTAGGTAATGTTATGTATTTTTGCGTCCCCTACAGTTAAGTGAGTGGAATTCACTGTCATAATTAGCTACAAGTCGATACAGTAGCTGTACAGTTGCGCTGCGTTCGAAATAGCATACTGTTTGAGTTCTATATTTGAATATGAATTAGAAAAATGATCTATGTGGTATGAATTATGGTAGCATGGTGAAATTCGGACATAGGCCTACTACTACATCAACCATGTTGTTATTGTCACGTGACCTGCAGCGTCTTTGCGTCACTTCACTGCCATTCACATATCCTCTCCCGTGGCCTCATGGGATAGTAAAGTGTCCATGTGCACTTCAGAATCTCACCTGAAATAGTAGGTCAGCCATGTACTTTATGTCTACTGTTTTTTGAAATACTATGAATTCGTACATACTACTCTACTCGCCTCACATAGGCCTACGGGTTTTTTTTTTAGTTTGTTTGTTTTTTTGCATAGGCTACTATATAGTAGGGAAGTATTTGATTTTGGGTGCAGCGATGCATTTGTTGTAAATACTATGAATTCGTACATACTACTCTACTCGCCTCACATAGGCCTACGGGTTATTTTTTTAGTTTGTTTGTTTTTTTGCATAGGCTACTATATAGTAGGGAAGTATTTGATTTTGGGTGCAGCGATGCATTTGTTGCCAGGATTAGTGGGATTTCACACCTGCTAATCAAGCATACATTTAGAACAGATGTTCAAAGTTCCTGTTCTCTCTCTCTCTCTCTCTCTCTCTCTCATCGTCATTTTATGCCCCCAAGTGCCCTGCAGCCCCCTGATGAGAACCACTGATATTATGAGATTATGCAAAATCTCTCAAAAATGAAATTGTTTTATCACATCATTATAGCTCTCCTACGGGTTATGCCCTTTCATTTCAAGCTTTTTGGCGCCTCATGACCAATTACCTAGGCACCACTATACAACATTTATTATTTAAGAAGCTTATTACTCATACAAATTGTCTCCCCTCTCATACTGAAAGGTTTTGTTTGACCTGTACTGCGCAACTACCAATATCCAAAGAGGAAACACAACTGCGCTATCCTCAGGGCACCAGAGATGATTAGTCATGTAAGATCGTTGAAGAGATAACCTCATCTCCAGCCTTCTCTTTGAGTACTGATGTGGCCCAGGAAACTATGACAACTGAATTTATAATGAAATTATAAAAAAAAAAAAAAGAAACTTAAGAGCTTCCACGTATCGTATTTTTAATGAAAAATCATTGTTATGATAAACAAGAATGGGGATATGGCCCCACATGACCTGAAATAAAAGCTTGCAGTGCATCACCAGACAATGTGAGAACACCTGAGCATATTTCAAACATATGAGGCAAATGATTATTTGATAATACAACCAATACTTATCACTGCGTCTAAACCAACAACATGCCTGTTAGATCCTGTACCCACTAAATTACTGAAAGAATTGTTACCTGTAGCAGAAGAACCGCTTCTCAATATTATTAACTCGTCGTTGTCTTTAGATCACGTCCCAAAACCATTCAAGCTGGCAGTTATTAAGCCTCTTATTAAGAAACCACAACTAGATCCTGGTGAACTGGCAAATTACAGACCCATCTCAAATCTTCCTTTTATGTCTAAAATTTTAGAAAAAGTTGTGTCTGCTCAATTGTGCTCCTTCCTGCAAAAAAATTATCTCTATGAAGAATTTCAGTCAGGCTTCTAGATATTTGATAATTATTAAATTTAAATATCCTCATTTAGAACTACTTGTGAACTATGACCAGTTAATAAAGAATAACCAATTAATTACTAATCACAACAGTAACGTCTTAAAAGTGAACAATTGGGTTCTTTGTGGAAACTCATTTATGAATTTGATATCCCCCAAATAAGTCGGCTACATTTTAAAATTGTGACTAC